TTACCAAATGTAATGTCCCTTTATACACACTGCTTTATATTAATTTCCCCAGTATTCCTTTATCTGATTTGTCATCAACACACTTAATGGACTGCAAAAATATGATCCTGTGTGATTCCTTTCCATTGCTGGCCGAATAGTTTAAATTTGGATAAGATTTTGACTTTGATATTTTAGCAATTACATTTTGCAGCAGTGTCTTTTGGGTTGCTAACTCTTGTCCTTCCACTTATCCTTCCATCAGTTCCAGGGCTCAATCCCAACTGCTGTTGGACGAGACACTATGGAGCTCTATATTTATATTTCCACAGTACAAAGTGGCAAAATCAAAGACTGCTTTGGGATTTTTTTAAAAAAAAATGTTTTCAAACCATGGATGGTTGAAGCAGTGGTTGCAGAACACCAACTGTGTAACACTGTCACTGTACGAGTAAAGCAACAACAAAATGCTCCCCTGCCCTTAGGTGTATAATTTAATTAAAACATGACACAAAGGCAAAGGGATGCCAGTGTGGGAAGGGATGAAGGGCCTGTCCAGACAGGCCCTATATACCAGGATGTGATTGCAGGTTTTCTGTTTATCCTGGATTATCTGGCAGAGTGGACTCATATGATCCAGTTTAAAGCTGAAAACCTGGGATTTATTTATTTATTTGTCATGTCAGAACAACCAGTCAAATTATGTTACATTTCTAACAGAACAAAGCAAAACAAGCAGATTACAAAATTTGTGAGTATGGTAGTTGATTAAATGTCCTTTGATCAGTATCTGGCCACTTGGAGTGCTTCTGGTGTTGCCGCAAGAAGGTCCTCCCTTGTGCATGTGGCAGGGCTCAGGGTTCATTGCAGCAGGTGGTCAGTGGTTTGCTCCTCTCCACACTCGCACGTCAAGGATTCCACTTTGTGGCCCCATTTCTGAAGGTTGGCTCTGCATCTCGTGGTGTCCGAGCGCAGTCTGTTCAGCGCCTTCCAAGTCGCCCAGTCCTCTGTGTGCCCAGGGGGGAGTCTCTCATCTGGTATCAGCCATGGGCTGAGGTGCTGGGTTTGAGGCTGCCACTTTTGGACTCTCGCTTGCTGAGGTGTTCCAGCGAGTGTCTCTGTAGATCTTAGAAAACTATTCTAGATTTAAGTCGTTGACGTGCTGGCTGATACCAAACAGGGGATGAGCTGGAGATGTCTCTGCCTTGGTCCTTTCACTATTGGCTGCTACTTCCCGGCGGATGTCAGGTGGTGCAATACCGGCTAAGCAGTGTAATTTCTCCAGTGGTGTAGGGCGTAAACACCCTGTGATAATGCGGCATAGGGCCTGTCTGGAAGGGCTCCATGGCTTCACATGCCACCTGTTTCTCCAAGGCCAAAGCAGTGGCAGTTGGATGGAAGGAGGGCTCTTCATCTGCTTCTGGGTCAAGCACATGCAAGAGCAAACTTCAGCCCTCCAGGTGTTTCGGACTTCAACTCCCACAATACCTAACAGCCGGTCTAGCAGTTTGTAATGTAATACAGGTTGAGTATCCCTGATCCAAAGTGCTTTGAACTAGAAGTGTGTAAATCACTTTGAGTCCTCCTGAGGGTGAGAAAAGCGGTATACAAATACTGTAAATAAATAAATAAAATGTTTGGGATCATGGGATAGCTGTTTACATACACAATGACACATTTCAAAGATAGCACCCAAGATGAAACACAAAAGAGGCATGCACGAGGCCTCTTTTCCCACGTGCCCGGCAATGCCGCTGCGCATCCCTCTCTCGGCATTAGGAAATGTGCGCCCTGCATCGCCCTCCTTCTCCATGCACTTCCTAACGCTGGGAGAAGGATGCACACTGGCGTTGTTGTCTCCCTTGGCCTGCAAGGAGGAGGAGGAGAGGAGGACAACGTGCGCACTTGTGAGGGAAGGATGGAGGGAGAGCATGCTCCCTGCATGAGGGCTCTTTTTCCGTGCGCCTGGTAATGCCGGCGCGTGTCCCTCTCCCGGAGTTGCAAAGCGTGTGGGGGAAGAGAATGCAAAGCGCATACCCAGGAGCCGATGGAGCACAGGGCCTCTTCTCCTGTGTGAAGAGGGGCAGCATTGCAAGTGCCTCTCCAGGCAGCTGTGCCATCACCCCTCTCAGGGCGGCAAGGAGGTTTCTTCATGAACGGAAGTGACTGAAGGTACTGCAAATCTAAATTATTGTACATGTTTCCCCAAAACCCCTCCAGTATCAGAGTCTATTTTCCCCAAATCCCTTCAGTATTTTGTGTTGGAACTACATCAACACTGACAAAGAAACAACAAGAAATACTATTTACCCACAAGCATTAAGAAATTACATATATTAGAAACCAACTTTCTTATTACTTTCTTTTCAAGATCACTAGACTGGATCACAGCAACGCGTGGCAGGGGATGGCTAGTGTGTGTGTGTGTGTATGTATGGCTGGCATGGGCCAACTTCAGCCCTCCATGTGTTTTGGACTTCAATTCCCACAATTCCAAACAGCCAGTAGGAAGTCCTAAATACCTGGAGGGCCAAAATTTGTCCATGCCCCCATAGATAGATAGATAGATAGATAGATAGATAGATAGATAGATAGTGATTGGTTTTGGGGGAGGGGGGGCGCCAAAATACTGTTTGCTTACCATTGAAAATTACCTAGGGCCGCCTCTGTTCATAGATTAAGATCTTCCAGGGAGGTCCTGCGGCTGGTGGGGATGAAAGACAGGACCTCGGTGAGATCAGGTCAGCCCCCTCCCTCCTGACCTTTAGGAGACAGCTAAAGACCTGGCTGTGGAACCAAGCGTTTGGCCCATCATAGGAATATTTAAAGTTAAGTTGACAGTTAAAAATGCAATGACCCAGGACTGTTTATGACAATGGCTATGTCTCTGTGTGATAGGTGATGTTATTTTATGTCATGTGTTTAATAATGTTTAACATTTTATTAAGGAAGGGTCAATTTAAATGTTTTATACTGTTTTTATTGAGGACATTGCATTGTTGCCAACACTGTGAACCGCCCTGAGTCCCCTTCGGGGTTGAGAAGGGTAGTATACAAATATCGCAAATATATAAATAATATCACAGAAGGCTTCTGCTTCTCCCCAGGGCCTTATGCAAAAACTGCAGCAGATGAGGCAAGAAGAAAGAGAATGCCTGATGAGAGAAGGAGAGGGAGACAGAAAGCCAGCGTTCAAAAAAGCAATGGTCCTCCTCCTAGTCCCCAAATGATGTGCTTGGGGCTTGTTACACAGCATGAGAGAGATTTCAAAACAGCAGATGTCATCTCCACCTTAGAATCATAGAATTATAGAGTTAGAAGAGACCTCATGGGCCATCCACAACATGAGGAACTGTATTAAGGGGTTGTGGCATTAGGAAGGTTGAGAAACACTGCCATATAGGAATGCCAAATCAAAGAATTCATAGAATCAAAGAGTTGGAAGAGACCTCGTGGGCTATCTAATCCAACCTCCTGCCAAGAAGTAGGAAAATCGCATTGAAAGCATCCCGATAGATAGCCATCAAACCTCTGGTGAAAAACCTCCAAAGAAGAAGCCTCCACTACACTTCGGGGCAGAGAGTTCCATTGCTGAACAACTCTCACAGTCAAGAAGTTCTTCCTCATGTTCAGATGGAATCTCCTCTCTTGTAGTTTGAAGCCATAATTCCGTGTCCTAGTCTCCAGGGAAGCAGAAAACAAGTTAGCTCCCTCCTCCCTATGACTTCCTCTCACATATTTATACATGGATATCATGTCTCCTCTCAGCCTTCTCTTCTGCAGACTAAACATGCCCAGCTCTTTAAGCTGCTCCTCATAGGGCTTGTTCTCCAGACCCTTGATTATTTTAGTTGCACTCCTCTGGACACACTCCAGCTTGTCAATATCTCTCTTCAATTGTGGTGCCCAGAACTGGACACAGTATTCCAGGTGTGGTCTAACCAAGGCAGAATAGAGAGGTAGCGTGACTTCCCTGGATCTAGACAGTATACTCCTATTGATGCAGGCCAAAATCCCATTGGCTTTTTTTTGCCGCGGCATCACATTGTTGACTCATGTATAACTTGTTGTCCACGAGGACTCCAAGATCTTTTTCACACGTACTGCTCTCGAGCCAGGCATTGTCCCCCATTCTGTATCTTTGCATTTCTTTTTTTCTGCCTAAGTGGAGTATCTTGCATTTGTCACTGTTGAACTTCATTTTGTTAGTTTTGGCCCATCTCTCTAATCTGTCAAGATTGTTTTGAATCCTGCTCCTGTTAAAAAGAGTATTGGCTATCCCTCCCAATTTGGTGTCGTCTGCAAACTTGATGATCCTGCCTTCTAACCCTTCATCTAAGTCATTAATAAAGATGTTGAACAAGACAGGGCCCAGGATCTTAAGAATGTCCTCCTCCTCCTCCTCCTCTCCATGCTAACCACAACTCCCCTTATCATCCCTGGCTAGGAAGTTACTCAAATATACCAAGATCCCAAGAAGAGTGGCTGTTTCTTTCTTCCAGCTTGAAAGGAGAGGAGGAGGTTTGGATATACATCAGCCTCTGCGCCTTCGGCTCACCTGGTCTCTGTCCTCTTTTTCCTTTTCAAGCGCTGTTTGGTCACCTGGCTTTCACAGCAGCCGCAGGAGAGACTTCGAAACTATGCTTTCTTTCAGAAAGAGAAAAGAGAAGAATGGGGCGGGGGAGGGATGGCATTAGCAAGGTCTCTCCCCAAGCCCGGTGCAGAAGGAAGAGATGCTTTCTGCTGACACACAAACGTGCATCTAGGCTGGAGAGAGAGAGAAAGAGAGAGGATTGAAGCGCGCCGGGCCGGCTCGATGCAGCGGAGGGCAGGAGCGCGCACGAGGACGCGCAAAGGCACGGAGGGAGGGAGGGCAGGGCGGCCCAGTCCTTACGCAACGGCTTAAGCCAAGCGGAGGCACAGAACCGAGTTAGTCCCGGGAGCGTCCGCACGGGAGTTTGGAACAGTTGAGTCCGTGGGAGAGAGAGAGAGAGAGAGAGAGAGAGAGAGAGAAAATAAAGCAAAACAAACCCTCTTTCTTCCTTGAAGACCCTGGGAAAAACCTCGTGTCTCATCTCAGCCACCCAGCCCTTCCTGAAAACCGCCCACTTACATTATTTTCCACCGGCTCTTTCTCTCTTTCCTCCCCATGCCTACCCTTTCCCCTCTTCCACCCCCTCGGTGGCCCCTTGGCTGTCTTTGGAGACTCCAAACCCGGGGCAAAAGGTAGGAAAAAGCGCTTCGTGGGGCAGAGGGAGCTCCCTTGCGCCCTGGCAAAGCGGCAGGAGGGGTAAGAAGGCGGCAATCCCGAGCTCTTTGCCAGGGTGGCTTCCCTCCCCTTCCTTCCTGCCTGCCTCTCCTTTCTTCCCTCCACCCTGCTTGCCTTACAAGCCGGGCAGGTTCTGCCATCTAGAGCGCTTGCGGAGATCTCTCTAATCCGCTGGGTTTCCCCCCCCCCTCCCCCAGCTCTTTTGCTCCTCTTCTTTCCACCCACCCGTGTCCCTGTCTTGGTGGGTGCGTGCGTGTGTCTGCGAGGAGCCTGGCACCCCCCTCCCTTGCTCTCTCCCATCCATCCGTCCACACGTACACGCGGGAACAGGATCTGCTTCGCGTGAACTTGGGCACCTGTTCTCCCCCGCTGGCATGCGGTCCCTACCTTGGGATGCCTTGGGAAGCGGACCCTCCACAAAGCACCGGGATGCTTAGCCATTCCCAACGAAAGTCTTTTGGAAAGCAAAAGGCACAAGTTTGATTTTGTGTCTCCTGCCCCCCCCCCTCGCCGCCGCCGCCTTTTTCCAATCTCTCTCTCTCTCTCTCTCTCTCTCTCTCTCTCTTTCTCTGTGTGCTGTGGATGATCTTCCTGAGTGAGGAGTCTCCAGGCTTGAGTCATTTGGACTCCGCTGAATCCGGTTCCATCTGCAAGCATCCTTCGTTTTTGCCTGGCTGGATCGACTGGGGATTCTAAAAATATTGTTGTTCTGCCTTCCTCTGAAGAAAAAGAAGGGGGGAGAAAGGAAGAAAGAAAAGGGGGGAGGAATGGCATAGCAAGCAGAACTCGGCACCTTCCGGAGGTTGGCTTATCAAACCAAGGAGAAATGTGATTTCGGAAAGGTAAGAACCGGAAAGCTTCCTATCCAAACTCTCCATTGATATAAAATCAAATCCTTTCAGGTCAGGGAAACGGAACGGTATTAAAAGGGAACTGATTAACTTTCTTTCTGCCTTGCTACCAATCTTTGTAACAGATTTGGGAGAAAATCCGCCTGGGGATTCTGTCCCCATTTTTGGTGTGTTGCTTTTGCAGTGAAAAGGGTGTTGAAATGAAGTGTGGCTTCTTCATGGGTTGCTGATTTTTCAAATGGTTGGTAGAAATTGAATATAATCCATGCTGGAGCAGATCAGAGATCAATCCAGGTTTGCAATGAGGGTGGATAAAATGTTGTGTTTGGGTAAAATTGTGAGGAAAAGATGTGAAAGCCACCACCTAGGGATTGAAAAAAGAAAGAACTTTGCTATGCAGCTAAACTCCACTGAATATGAAAACATACAGTTCAAGGACAGAGGGTCTTGTGGAAGTGTCAGGGGAAGAGATGGAACTAGAAGACACATGACAGCAGATTGTGAGTGGAAATTCAATGGCAAAAGAACAACTGAAACACCCTGATGTCTCATCTAAGATAAAATGATTTCCAAGGGACTGGCCAGCTAGAACTGTCCACATTTAGACATATGACCAAACATGGCTTGCAAATAGACATTGAAGTGAGAATGTGCCATAATTGTGTCACTCCAGCATCATCAAATGTTTACACTTCCACCAAAGAATTAGGTAGTTGATTTGGAGTGGTGGAGTTTGCATGTAATATGACTGTAAGGTACGTGCCTATTGCTCAATTTATCAGGATTATACACATATGCACAACTATAATCAGCCACCCTTCCAGAACTGATAACAGATGAAAGGAAGAGGTCAGTTATGACACAGGGACAACCCAGCAGAAAATGGTTGGGGACGTTGTGATGGATCTGCATCTCTGCTTCTGCTTCTCCACCCCCCAAGATTATGTATAAAATAGACAACCAGTGTTTAAATGCACATTGTAAACCCACTCTTTAAGAAAGTAAGAACATCTATTTGGAGGGAGGATGTGTTAATGTCTTTTTGTTGGGTTTTTTTGGGGAGAGTACATCTGCTTGGTAATTTTCACTTGCTGGAGAAGCTAAACAAGCATAAAAGAAGCTAGGATTTTTTCTGTGCTCAGTGATTGCTGCTTTAATGGATAAGAGCAGCCCCTCCACTCAGAGGAAGGGGGAAAGTCAGAAGATGAACGCTGTCTCATGAGTAGTTTTTGGTCTGTTGTCCTGCCAAGCAAATGAGTTGAGAAGGTAAACAGGTAGGGCCTCAGAGACCCAATATCTGTGCCAATCAGATCAACATCAGCACGTTATCTGTAACAAACAATCAAAAGTCAAAGAGGTGGCAGCCAATTCCACTTGTTCAATTTCCAAAGACATGTAGTCTGTTCTGTCAATTAGCTTATGACACTTCAGATGTTATTAGCAGTAAGCCAGGATTTTATGGCAAGAATGGTTGTGTGTGCAGAAATCAGTGGCACAATGATGACACAGCACAGGGTGGCTGCATATTACTTTTATTATTCAGATTTTTTCAGTCTCTCCCCACTCCTTTACTTGTTAATCTTGCATATAGTTATCATGCCATTGGCACATGCCCAGTCCATGCTGTTTGCACACTCCTGTCAAAACAGAGGAAAGCAAAGACAGCTGCAAACCTCCTTAGAATGAATGATCTATTGAAGGAGTCTTATTGGGTTTTTTAAAAAAGAAAAAGACACTAAGAGCAGAAATGCTCCAGATATACATTTGCAGAGCTTTGCACCATCAATATCATGGGGTTTTTAAAACATCTTGTCTTTTTTTACACTGTAACTGATGAAATCAATGGTATTTGAGGGCTTATCTCAGTCTGACAAATGTTTCAACACACACTGAGTTTCCTCTATCTGGCATGTACATATCCACCCCTGCAGACAGCGGTACCACCACTGTTTGCTGCTCCTCCCTTCAACCTGCCCACTTCCTCCTCACTGTTGCTACCCTTGAACAGTACATGGAGTCAAATGTGGACTGCAATCACTTTTCCCCCTTTCCTTTTGAGAATGTGTGAACACATCATTTCAGTGATCATCTCCCTGTCGATTTCTACGATTTTGTGTGGAAGTTGTTGTGTGGAAAGAGTTCTGGCAATGTTGTGTGTAGATACTGTCGGTGAAACTGGTTTCAGTCCAGGTGATGTAGCTGGGTACTACTCTTCCCCTTAGCTGCTTGTCCACAACATGGGGTGGATGGAATTGAACATTTGGGGAGAAATCAAGCATGGTCTTGTTTCTCTTCCAAGATGTTTCAGTATTGCTTTGTAAAATGGAAACCAAATGATGCTTTTTTAACTTCTTCACACATAAACAAAAAGTGCCTGGGTAGAAATGCTTATCTCTCTTGCATTTATGAGAGCCATAGTGTTTTGAAGCATTGGGGGCAGGCATGAGTGACGCAGAACTGAGAGGTTATCAGGTACAACTTTGATTACAGTTAGGGAATGTTGTTCTATACAGGGTGACAAGAGACAAGTGAAATTCCCTTTTCCATACACGAATAATGAAACTAGATCCATTCTACACACACACCAATTTTAAAGAAAAATGTGGATGAGTATTTCAGAACTGCTAGCTTCATTGTAGAAGCCAAACCAAAATCTACTATATGTTTACCAGAGTTAATCCACACACACACACACACACATGCACACACACACTTCAATGACAATGCATTATTTATGTGATGCATTGATGGTCATCATATATCAACCCTTTGCTTTCTCTCTTTTCTGAGTGAAATATTATAGTAAGTGTATTAAGACTATAGAAACTATGATACAATTTGATTGTAACTAGGGAAAATTATTCAACAAACACAGTTTACACGAAACCACTGAAGACATCTTGTGCAACGGGAGCACACAGTAAATTAATTGAACCTCAATTCAACCAATGGATTTCTGTAAAATATATTATTTCTTGATGGTGATAGAATGTGAGAAATGATTACAACTTCCTGTGGATTGAGCATATATATAAAACTCAAAATGTGGATCTTCACAATCCAGATGCTTCTCATTAGGTCTGTGGTTGCTAAAAGGTCTAAAAGCAGCCTAAATGCAGTGGATACAATTTTAAAGAGGAAAAGGCAAAACCTCAGTGGTTTTGTGTGTGGTGCTTCCTTTTGTGTGCTTATGCATGTTGTTAAAATCTAGCTACATATTTATGGCCTGGCACAGAGATAACTGAGAGTAGAAAGTCAAATGCACCAAATCAGAACAACCTAAACTTGAATGCAATTTGATCCTTAATGAAAAAAACAAACAAACAATCTAAGTAATAAAGTGACTGCAGAGGAGTTTGAAACTCTTTGATTTCTCAGAGATGCTGGAAAAGAATACTTAGGGATTCAAGCCTATTACATGACAATTAGTGTAAAGCTATTATGCTTAAAGAAATTATGGATCCATCTAGGCCAGGACTGCCCACAATGACAGCTGACAGCTCTCGAGTCTCTAGTGTCTCAAGGCATCAAACTAAGCAAGACTTTCTCCCCATTTCCTACCTCATCACCTTTAAATGGATATTCTAAAGAGGGATTTCTATATCAGCCTGCCCCAAGGTTCCTATGCATCAGTAATGGAGGCCTAAAATCTGGTGCTGTACTGAGATAATAAGAATGCATAAAATTCTATACATTGCAGTGTGTTAGGAATGGACACTAATGTTGTTTACAACAGATTGGACTTAACATTTTTTATTCACAGCACACTGGCTTGTTAGATGCCAAATATTGGAAGTCTGTCTCTTATTATTACAACTGGTGTGGCATTCTTCTTCTCCTACAGGACCAGGCAGCAAGTGTACTGAGGAAACCTTTTATCCCCAGATAGCCGACAAACCACTGAGAGATTTATAGAGATCTGGGACATTCACAAGACAAAGTCCTTACATAGGCCTGCCTCACATGCTCTTGGCCAGTCTCAAACTGGATTGCAACTTGGAGAACCTGAGTCATATTGCTTTGTGGAAAACCTGACAACTTCAATATCTCCCATTTTACTCTTCCCACGTGTCTGGGTGCTCAGATCCCTTCCTCTCTGACTATTGTTCATGAGGAATAAAGATGGTGAGAATGTTTTTATAAAATCTCTGGGGAGATCCAATTTAGATTGCATGTTGTATATTCAAAGTGTGGGTTCTGCTGCTAAACTCTGGAGAGTTATGGAATTTTATCCTGCTCAGTTACAAGCTATGGATCCTATGGAATTCATCCTGATTGCTCAGTTTCTAGTGTGTCACTTTGGCATTCCCAGGAAGGGATCACACAGGAAGACCCACATCAAAGTGACAACCATATTGCTGAGGCAGTGAATCAATTTTGGATTTCAATCCAAATGTTAAAGGATCTATCTATGGTGCTGCACCTGTTGGGGGTTGTTTTTTGGGTGGGTGGTTTAAAACTGTCCTCCTAAAACATGGAATATATCACCTCTCACTGCCACAAAAACCATTAGTGAGCTCCTGGCAATTCTTTGTGGTATACCAGACACTTTTGTTTAGTACTTTCTTATGGAAAAAAAACTCCTGGTGTTTACAAATGAGATCCAATTTTCCCAGTGTTTAAGGGACTACTGGGAGCTCATATTATGAAAGCTTGTTTGTATCATCAAACTCTAAAGGCTTATTAAAAAGTATGTCAATTTGTTAAGGTCTCTAGATGATAATAATAGAATATGGCAAAAATTAATAAGTAGGATTGTGTTGTCAGAGCCCAACCACAGAAAGAAGCATCTCAAGAATGTTCCACCTATTCCTTCATTTCTGGATTAAAAGAAAATGGTCAAAAGTTTAAATTATATCCCTCTTTGAAAATTTGTAGATTAAAACAATATATTCAGTACAATACATTATATAGCTAATAAAGATTGCTGAAATGGAGGCACAGATTTTTCAAAGATAATTTTAGTGATTAGGCCCATTGTGTTCTTGATA